CATACTGTTTTCTGCCAGCCAGACAGCTAATCTTCTATCCATGTTAGTGTGCTATCTCCTATGGACCAAATACTTAATTACACCAGCAACCACCCCAACACCCATAAATGGAGCTGCATCAGGACATTATTCAAATGAGTCACAACACACTGCAGCAACCTGGAATTGCGCAAAGCAGAACAGGAGTGCTTATACAGAGTTTTTAAAAGGAATAGATACACAAAAAGCACAATCCACTGTTACCTCCACGACAGACCACAGCAAGACACACAAATCACCCTACCGTACATCAGAGACATATCAGAGATGACCACAAGACTACTCAGACCCGTAGGTATCAGGGTAGCCCACAAACCAACAACCACCCTGCTACAGCTACTGACAAACACAAAGGATCCCATACCCATAACCAATAAAACTAACATAGTATACAAAATACCATGCAAGTACCGTGAGAAACATTACATAGGCCAAACTGGAAGAAAACTGACAATGAGAATACATGGATACCAACTAGCCACCAAGAAACACAACCAATTCTCACTAGTCTCAACACACATGGACAAAGAAGGACACGAATTTGATTGGACAATGCATCCATAATAGCACAAGCCAAACAGAGACATGCCAGGGAAATCTTGGAGGCCTGGCATTCCAACCAGAACTCCATCAACAAACACGTTGAACTGGACCCGATACACAAACCACTGAAAACAGAACCAGAAGGAATGCCAACCACCCCAGCAAATTGAGGCATATAAATAACAAACGTGACAGAACACCAATGCTTCACTGGAGACACACTGATGATGTTACCTAGCAGGGTGATGAAACCTCTGCAATCAAACACACCGGCTTGGCAAGCAAGTCTACAACCTCATCCACAACCCGAGCTACAAATCTTCTCAACAACTTTGACCATCAGCTCCTTCTTTGTGCAATAACATTTTATGTGACACCCTGACAGATGTCATCGGAAACCCAAGTGCAGTATATCAACTTTATCCAAAGGACATTACTTCTTCAAAGAATTACAATAAATTGGTTAAATACTACTTCCCTTACACAAAACCATGCTAACTTTTCTTAATTACCAGAATTTGTTTTGAACGTCCAGTTATAACCTCCTTTAGATCAATTGTAACATCTTCCCTATGACAGATGTCAAGCTAAGTGGGATATAGTTTCCCGTTTACTGGCCCTCCTTCTTGTATTGAAGAGTTATATTTGCTACTTTACAGTGATGGAACCTTTCCAAAATCCAGTGGTTGTTGGAAGATTAGTAGCAATGCATTCACTATCTCGTTAGCCACCTCTTTTAAGAGTCTAGGATGAACTTCATCTGGACACAGACTTTAAAAAGTACAATTCCAGTTGCTTAGTACCACATCTTGGTGAATATAATTTCATCAAGATCCTCTCTTCCTTCAATCTACTGATTTACAGGTATTACTCGGCTGTTTTTGATATCCTCTAAAATGAAGACAGAAGGAAAATACTACTCATTACGTCCACTATTTCTTTATTATCTACTATTAAGTGCCCACTCTCACTATCTAGAGAAGCAACACTGCACTATTGTTTTCATTCTTAGATCCTTTGTAAAATCTTGCTATCGTGTTTACATTTCTTGCTCCCTGTTCTACAACTTTATGTATATCCATGTCACAAATGTTTTCCTTTGTTCTTTCCTATGCTGTTCTACATGAAGATTGCTTATATTTCTTGTAGATCCCTGCCACCATGCTATTCTAAGATCTTGCCACTTGACTATTTATCTTTTCTACAAGGACAGGGATCCATCCCAGTTCATGTGGTGCAAATCCTATCGGTACACCACATTCCTGTCTTACAACTGGCACCAGTATTCCATAGAAAAGAACATCCCCTTCCCACAACAGCCTTTTCCTCCTTTTCTTTTTATAGCTATTCCCATCAGAAGAACTGCTGATATCGTATATCATTGACTTTCCATTGACTAACAATGGACTCATATTTTGTGAGATCCCACACTCCGGACCGTCCATGTGCTTTCCTAAACATCATGACAGTTCCCTGGATGTGTCAAACATCTTGCTTATTCACCGTCTTAACCACTGTCATTTTAACTTGCTCAGTTAATCTGCCTCAGCCATTATTTCAGTTTCATCCACTTAGAACACAGAACAGTATAGCACAAGAACTGGCCTTTTGGCCCATGTCTGTGCTGACCATGATGTCACCCTAAACTAATCCCATCTGCCTGCACTTGGTCCGTATCCCTTATTCCATGTCTGTTCACGAGTCTGTATAAATGTCTCTTAAACATTGCTACCGTATCTGCTTCTACCATCTCCCCTGGTAACGCATTCCAGGCAGCTACCAACCTCTACATTAAAAAGCAACTGGCCTCATGCATCTCCTTTAAACTTGTGCCCTCTCAATTTAACGCTATGCGCCCAAGTATGGAGTGATGCCCCATATCTCACCAGTTGAAGATGAATGCCTTAAGGTTTTAATGACACTGGATGCTTACAGTATTATTTTTCTCAGCGGGGGGGGGGGGGGGGGGGGGAGATGTGGATATTGCTGTGAAATATGTGGAATTTGTCAACATTTGTTTGATATTTCATGTGGACTGAGGGATGGTCAACCACATTAATCTGTTACCCATATTTGCCTCACATTAATTTTGGGGATGTTTGAACATATATGCAACATGTTTACACATTCTAAACTTTTCCATGTCAATAATCTTTGTATATTTCTAAGTTTTATTTGTAATGAACTAGTTCTTTTAAAGAAACTGATTTGAATTATTTCTAACACTAAATCAGATACAGTCTAAAATCTACATTAAATTGACCATATCATCACCATGGCAAAATTTAAAATGTTACAACCAGTGCAGAAATGGAACCAGAAAGGAATTAGTGTGCCCCTCCAACCATTGTCATTACATGGTCATTAAACAGCTCATTCCACTGTAAAATGGTCTGGAATAACATACCTTGCTGAGATGGCCAGATATAGAGAACTATAACTCTGACTTTTTTAGAAAAGTATTCAGTGGACATCGCTATCAAGTTCGACATTCATTTCTCAAAACCCGTGGCTCAAGAAGTTGGGGTGGTGAAATACCTTTTTGAACCACTGTGGTCTATGTGGGTTGAGGCTTTCTTAGCTGTTTTGATAGATCCGAATGATATGCTTGGTTATTTCCAATGGCAGTTAAAATCAACCACATTGCTGTGGGTCACCCGATTAGCTAAGAATGGGCGGGTTTCTTTCCGTAAAGGACATCAGTGAAACAGCTGAGTTTAAAACCACAAATCAGTATTCTCCATGATCACCATCTCTGATAGCAACTTTAATTCCAGTCTTATTTAATGGCCTTAAAACTCCAAAAATGCCATGGTGGGTTAGGAACCCATGGATTGCTAATCTAATAAATAACCATTATGCAACTATATCTTCATGCTGGCCCCAAATCTTCCAATATTCAATGCAAATCTGTACAGAAAAGCCCAGAATTAAGTTAGAATCTGCACCTTGGATTACACTAAATAATTCCAGGTTTCCGCACCCCAGTATGGCTCTCAAGAACACATGCTAAACAGGGCAGGTTTTGGCATAATGATAAAATCACAGGACTGGTAAATCAAAGGCCCGTGGTTTTGCTCTGGAGTCAGGAGTTCAAATCCCACCACAACAGCTGCTGGAATTCAAATTCACCTGGTAAAAAAATTGCATTATATAAAGCTCGTCTCCTAGACCATGGTAACTGGCATCAATTGTTGTAAAACTTTTCTGTTCATTAGGTCATTAAAGGAATGAAATCTACCTGATCTGGCTCACATATGACTACAGACTCTGGACTCTTCTGGAATGGCTTAGTAAGCCACTCACTTCATGGGTAGTTAGGGTTGGGCAACGAATGCTGGCCTTGTTAGCAACGCTTACATTCCACAAAAGCATAAAGTGGATTGAGATAAGATCATGATGCTACTTACTGGTTCATTTTTTCAACCTGGTGTGCAAAATTCACAAGATTCATAATTCTTGGAAGACAACACTTTTCCAAAAAAAAAAAATAGTTTGAAGAAATGCACTCTGTATCTTCAAAGGGCAGTGTGTTTTCTCAGAGTCAGAGAATTCAGCAAAGATTTGAATTTATACAATGCTTCATGATAATTCTCAGTAATGTCTCAAAACACTTTACACAATTGATTGCATTAAATTGCAGTGAATTATGGAGACAAAAGCATTAACAAGACTCTACATATAGAAATGAGCTGAACAACGAGTAACTTATTTTGATGGTGTTTGTTCAAGAAGGACCATTAGTTGAGGATTGTGAGAAATCCCTCCTGCTTTTGAATAGTACCATGAAATTGTAATATTCAGTGAAGCCTTAATGTCACGTCAGGTAATTTGCATTTCTCCTGTAGGGCACTGAGCATTAGCCTAGCTTAAGTGCAAAAAACCACGTAGCTTTAAAAAGAGACTGCCAACGAGAGGAGACTTGGATATTAAGGTTTTTATACTGGGTTTCACTCATTAGCCGGTGATTTTGATGTAGAAATCTTCAGGAGCAGCGTAACTCCACTGCTCCTAGCATTTTCACAGTCCCAATATCCAGTTTACTTAATATACTGCAGATAGTAAAAACTTCTAAAAATGTTTGTCACATTATCACAGAAGCTGCCACAGGCATGTACTGCATCACTATCAAATCCAAATTCCCAAACTTGTATTGGATTTCACCATCCTCACTGCTTTTCAGGGGTTCAGATTTGACAATAAAGTGGAATTAAACACCTCTGGTCATATTCACTTACTGGCACTTGAATTTCATCTCAAATGTGAAGCTCAACTGTATATGTATAGGGTTGCACGTGCTATGTAAATTGGTGCAAATGAGATGATGTTGGGTATAGAGCATCTTCCCAGCAAGACATATCAATGCTATGATCAAACAATTCAGCAACTCAAACAGTATCACAAGTGTCAATGCTTACCTTATCACCCTTTTTAACGGTTCTGGTGGTTAGTTTGCTGGTAGCTTTTCTGGCAACGTCACCCAATTGACGCTGGATTCATGTACATAAAACCAAAAATAAAAAAGGAGAGAAAAAAATATTCAAAACATGCTTCAAAGAGGAAAACAAGGCTTAAAAAGTTGCAGATCTTTGGTACAATTCTAATCTTACTTTAGAGGACAGTGTTTTATTCTGAACAAAATGCGGATTCATCTAATCATTAGTCAAATTGAATGCCAGTCATCATTTCTAATAACCAGAATTCCACAATTCAGTGCAGACCATGTTATGTTGAGTTAGTTGGTTTTACTCAGGATTTCAGTAGAGGTACTAAAACTCAATGTACTTTTTTGGATAAAGGGAATGTGCTGAGCCTCCTACAGCAAGCTTCTTAAAATGCACCTATGAACAAAGAGGACTGAGTGCTAAAATGTAATTGGGGATCTTACCTAGTGACTATTAAGCTGGTAGAAGGTTAAGAATTTTTTATTCGTTGAATTTCTACACCTAAAACAGACTCCAGTATTTATATTACTTTTACAAAATCTGAGTGTTTGATGCATCATTTCATTTTTGCAAACTTTAAAAAAAAAATCACATGATGTAAAATTAAATCTAACATTCTGATTGGAGAGGTAGTGCTGTGGTGGTATTGTCACTGGGCTAGCCTCCAGATTCCAGGCTAATGTTCTGGGTACATGGGTTCGAAACCCACCGTGGCAAATGGTAAAATTTGAATTCTATGAAAATCTGGAATTGGTAACAATAGGCAACTGTCACTTGCTGTTAAAACCCATTTGATTCACTACCGTTAAGGGTAGGAAAGCTGTCATACTTATCTGGTCTAGACTGCATGCTATTTCAGGTCCGCAGCAATATGGCTGACTCTTAACTGCCCACTGAAAGGCCAAACAAGTCAATCAGATCAGGGTGCAATTAGGGATGGGCAATAAACGTATCCAGCAACACCACATCCCATGAATTAATGAAAGAAAAATTCTTTTAATTTGAGACAAAGATTATATCTGAGGAGATAGTTTGCAGTGATCAGAACATCAATCATGGAAAACTACCAAACACAGAAGATACATCTACAGCAGAAGCTGCAGGTACTGAAACCTAAAAGTACACCATTTCCATTTGATGTAAAAGAAAGTTCTGATCCATAAATAATTCAATTATCGTATATTACATAAACAAATGTTTTAATCATTAAATAAAAACCAAAAACTAGTCAAAACAAAATTATGTATGATCTAAAAATATTTAGAATAATTTCTCTCAGATGTTTGATAAAATGCCAGATTGTAATCTAAACACAAAACCAGATTAGTAGCTCTTGGGATTTGGACAAAGTTCACTTCCACGAAGAATGCATCTCATGTTCTAAGTATTCTTTGCAATTTTGAGCTGACTCAGAACTCCTCTAAAAAGTGCAATGCACTAAATCAGCAACACTGAAACTGCAGCAAATCAGCCAACTTTTAAAATTTGCATTTGTAGTGTTACTAAACTAGTTGTTTGTTTACTTAAAATTAAAATGTTAGCAATACCTGATAAAACATGAACTGAACATTTTGTACTAAAAGCAGCCTATTACTGGCTTTCTTTCAGTTCTTGTTCTCTGCCAAAAATATTTTATTTTTATCATACGTGTTAAAGAAATCTTCCAATTTTTCAACACAAAGCCCCTCTGATAACTATTTATGAGTTATTGAAATATCATAATTTTCAGATAGATTGTTTTATGAATTGCCATACATTAGTGATGGACAAGAACTGCAAGTACACAGAACCTGAACCGACAATGAAGAACTTCCTGTTTTCAATGAGGAGGGATTTTACCCAATGAGTTTATTTCCTGTAAATCTGCAGCTTGAGCGTGATATACAGGAAGACAAGATTGTGAAATACTAAACATGAATTATTTTTCAAAACACTGTTAACACAATTAGCTCAATACTAATGCGTGTCAGATATTATAAGTTATAATAAAATACCTCTGTGACCCCGATATTCAAACATTCTTTCTGCATGAGTTTTAATAATATGGAATGGGATAAAGTACTGTGCAGTTATTCAATTGCATCATGAGACTTCTCTACAATAATAGCATTAACCATTCACATTGCTGTGCACAGTGCTCTGGTCAGACTTCACAAGAGCAGAATTAGGCCACTGAACCCCTCAAGCCTATAATCCTGTCATTCCACAAGATCGTGGCTGATCGGAAGAGTGGACAATGCTTTTGAAAACAGTTTGCATTTCTGCTCATCTTTAGACAGATATTCAAGTACTGAGGGAACAGTCCTTGAATATTTGGAAGGCTGAGGTGGATACTTTCTTGATAAGCAAGGCGATGAAAGGTTATTAGGAGTAGGCAGGAATGTGGATTTGAGATTACAATCAGTTCAGTTGTGATTTTATTGAATAGGAGAGCAGAATCCAGGGACTGAATGGCCTGCTCTTGCTCCTTGTTTATATATTCGTAAGCAGCATGGGTTGTCCACACCTTGTAGTGAGCCTGCCGATGTTTACTTGGCAGGCTTGCATTTGCCTCTGTTTGCGCACCTACTGCCTTGCGGAGACAATTCCCCAAAGGAATTGCTGGCCTCTTGTCTCCCTCCTCCATCTCACAATCACAGCCCCTCATTCCCTTTCCAGATCTGCCAACTGACCCCAGGGAAGCCCAGAGTTACCTCCAGATCCAGCCTCAATTTCTGTTCTTTGTGGCAGGTTGCTGCACTTTCAGTGGTGGCTACCACTCCTACATTGCTGCTGATACTGGCATGATGCCAGGCTCTGATTTGCCAAGTACTCTTAGAATTGGGACATTCTTTTACATTGTCGGGGAAGCCACAACGTCAGGCGGTTAACTGCCTGATAACAATTAAATCTTGTCATGGCTTTTCAACCAGGCATTAATGAAAAATTCCAGCTATCCTTCCAGGATCCTTCTTACAACCATATGGCCACAGGCTTTTCAGTACCATGAAAATCACAAGTAAATTGCTTCAACCACCACTTTCACTGGGTGTCCCATTTATACATGGGCTCTTGCACCAATGAGTGGAATTATAGATCCTGTACTGAGGAAAGGATTCGCCTTTCTTTCTCTCCTGCTGGAAGTTTCATGAGTAGTGACTGCACTTCAATTCTTTTCTGAAACCTTTCAGCTATTTGACCACAGTGAAACTTAGAAAACAGGAATAGGCCAACTAAGCCTGCTCTGCCAATCAATCTGATCATGGTCAATCCTCTATCTCAACACCATACTCCTGTTTTCTTTCCCTATCCTTTGATACCACAAACGTCTAAATATCAGTTAGCTCAGTTGGCTGGACGCCAGGTTTGCAATTCAGAGTGATGCCAACAACCTAAGTTCAATACCCGCACCAGCCGAGATTACCATAAAGGACTCTCTTCTCAACTTCTCTCCTTGTCTCAGATGTGGTGACCCTCAGGTTAAACCACAACCAGTCATCTCTCCCTCTACTGACAGAGCAGCCCTATGGTCTTCTAGTGGTGAGACTATACTTAGGTCTCCAGATCCCCAGTAATGTGGTTGAAGGGCATGAGGAATGAGCAACAAATGCTGGCCTTGCCAGCAACTTACACATCCCATGAATGAGGAAAACAATTATAATGTGTTTTGAATATTACATCCTTACTGTAAGTTTCCAAAAGCTACAGACAATATATCTGATAATTAACTTGCTACAAACAGTAATCTTAAAACCCCTTCCAGAGCAATACACATTAATTTTGAACAGAAACTCCAACATAATCATTTTGGGATTACCACTTCAACCACAGGCAGACTAGCATAGGATAAAGTCAAGGAGTTAAGTGCATGGTTGAAAGATTGGTGTGGTTGGAATGGTTTATGTTTAAAGGGCACTGGCTCCAGTGCTGGTGTAGAAGGAAGCTGTTCTGTTAGGATGGGCTATACTTGACTTGTCTTGGCAAACTGAATAACTGGAACTGTAGAGAGAGTGGGGAAAGGGTTTTGGAGATGGGAATGTAGACCTTCAAAGCAAAAGGTTATGGGCAGCATGGTATGACAGCTATTTGGTTAATGATATCCAGAGTGGTACATGAAGGGACAAAGTGTACAAACATAGAAAAACAGCAGCAATGGGATCAAAGTGGAGGGGGGAAAAATGCATAGTGTGTTGAGAAAAAATTAATAAATTAATTAATAGATTTTATAGCCATCACATAGGCATGATAAGAAGATCAAAGCTGAGAACTAACATTCATGGATATGTGACTTTTCAAACGGATAGGCAGGAACAAACAGGTGGGGAGGCAGCTTTGCTAGTATGAGATGGAATAAATACGGTAACAAGAAATCATCTTGGAAGATGTAGAATCAATAAGGGTGTAGGTAAGAAATAACAAGGGGAAAATGACACTTGTGGGAACAGTCTATATGTCTTTAACAGTACTGATATTACAGGACAGAATAAAATCAGCAGATAATGAGGACATGGAGAAAAGGCATCACCATTAAATCATGGGTGACTTTAAACTTCATGTAGATTGGGAAAATCAAATTGACATGGAAGAATTCAGAGTGCATTTGGGACAGTTTCGTACGAGAACATGTTCTTGTCTGGTGATACGCAAGGAGATGGGTTTAATAAATGATCTCAAGATTAAAGGTGTCCTAGAAAACAGTGACTGTAACATGGCAGCATTTGGCAATCAATCTGAGGGGAAGAAACATGGGTTGGTAACAGCTGTGCTAAACTTAAATAAGGCTAATTACAAAACAAGTGAGGGCCCAGTTGGCTGAAGTGGATTGGGAAAGAAGTTTCATGGGAAAAGTTGGTTGAGGAACTATCATTAGTTTTAAGAAAACTTTAAGAAAATAGCTCATGTCTCACAACAAAGATAAATCCCGGTGAGGAAGAAGGATTAAAGGAAGGACAAACTAACCATAGTTAAATAAGGAAGATAAGGATTACATCAAACTGAAAGAAAAATACTTTGTGGCAAAGATTAGTGGTAAACCACAGGATTGCGAAAGTTTTGGAAACCAACAA